GTGATAATCAAACTGTTTGTTCTCCTTTTTCCCCCAAATTGGAATCGAAAAAAGAATCGATAAAGAATCGAATCATTTCATAGAATCGAAAAGGGAATCGGAATCGTGAAAATCTTTTCAATTCCCAACCCTAGGTGACGGCATAGAGCTTTGAATCCTGCCACTCTGGGTCCCTGAGCAAAACCCACACTGCTACCTGGGCAACACACAATGGCAGCCCACTGCTTCCCAAGGGAATGGGTTAAATGCAGGGAGTTCATTTTGTTGCTCTGTACTTGTGACAGTGTAATGACAATAAAAAGCTGGAAACACACGAGTTTTGATCCACATTCATTTGGTCTGCAGTTTATCTTTAATTAATTCAGATTAAATATTTATATTTGGATCAAAAAGTCCTGCTTTTTCATATAAATAATCTTTTAACCAAACTGCATATTTTGGGGGTTGTTTTTTCCCTAAATTTGACCAGAAGAACTAAATAAAAACACATCTGAGTAGTTCTCAATATTTGACTTCTTTCACCCACCTGTGCTTTCTGGAGCTTCGGGAGTGAGACGACTTGTACGAGTAGCCCGAGTACTGTGACTCGTTGTCCATGTCTCGGGTCGGCGGTGAGCGGGCTGTACGAGCCCCGCCTCCTCCACCCGTGCTGCGCCTCTCGCCGGCTCCTCCCAGCTGGCTCTTGCGCTCAGAGATAGACTTGGTGGAGAGAGCCAACGGCAGCTTGAGCAGATCAACCTTGCTCCTGAGGGAATCTATCTTGGAAGCTGATGCAGATGAGTGGTGAAAAAGAGGGGAGGTGGGAGAGCAGGGGGGAGGCTACAGAGAGGAGGAAAGGGAATCGGGAAAAGGATGATGGGTAGGAAAGTCACAGCGGGGAGAGATGAAGTAGTTGAGACCTGAAAAAAAAAAGAAAAAAAAAGTGTTAAATCAACCAATATAAGAGTTTTTAAGGCAGTTGACGATTATTTGGGCACCGCTCTGGAGTCTGATATGATCTCACTTTCTACATTATCATGCAAATGTTTCACAAGTTTCAAGTTGAACAAAAGGAAACATTAACAATTCAAACAAACATTAACAATTAATAGCAAACTGAGGGAGTGGCCATGCATGTGCTTAAGGTGATCTCAAGGCCCTGCTGCTGAATAAACTAATGAATCAGAGAAGACAGGCACGTAAAGGCCAATTCAAAGAAAAATACTTTTACTGACTTATTTAGTTATCTATTAATTGCTAACTGGAGTTTAGAGATTCTAAAATGTGTCTTTAGCTGACAGAGCAACCCACCTCATGTAAATGTAAACATTTTGCATTTAAGATTAAAAAAAAACTTTTTCGTCTGTCTATACATTCTATCCAGAACTCCTCAAGTGGAAAAGATTTAGTTTCACCTGGTTGAATTTGGTAAAAAGTCTTCTTAAAGGAACCTTTAGCAATCTTATTGTTAATCAATTCATCCAAAAAATAATCGACAGATTAATCTTTTTGCAAAATAATAATGATCTACACAAATCCAGCTAAAAAACGACCACCCTCTAACTTTCTGCCTATTAAAAAATTTACTGCATTTACAATCAGGGGTGTGTTTAAGGGGCCTCGGCAGATGGCCGCTCACATCGACTCTGGTTCTGCTGGAGGTTTCTTCCTGTAAAAAGGGAGTTTTTCCTCTCCACTGTCGCTACAAGCATGCTTAGTGTGAGGGATTCGAGTCAATGAGTCGATGCAATCAACAGGTTTTCCTTAGATTGAAAACTTTGAATCAATTTGACTGTGTGATCTGAATGAATTGTCTCTGTAAAGAGCCTTGAGATGACATGTGTTGTGAATTGGTGCTATGTAAAGAAACTGAATTGAAAACAAAATCGATTTGCCGATAATACCATGATTTTCGACTGCCCAACATTATATCTATCTTTCAGCTCCTAGTATTGATTTAATACAAAAAAAAATAAAAAATTTTAATCTAAAATAATGAGGGAAAATGGGCTACCTCTGCCCCCTGACTGGTAGATAGAGCTTTGGAGCCCTTTTGCCATGTGGCGCAGCAACATTACTGTAGTTGAGGCAGTCATAGTGGAAAACGTGGACTGACTCAAACTCCAAACAGCATGGATTCTGAACATATACAGCACCTGCTTTTTTATCTTTACATTCCATTTTGATAGCTGGGTAAAATATCACAATATATAATAATACTGCAATATCATAATAACATTGTATTGTGACCAAAGTATTGTGACACGTATCGTAACACACATGCCAATACTCCCCCTATTTACAATATATTCACAATTAAAAGAACACAACTCTTTAGTAGCAGAAGCACTCTCTTTTAGTCTCAACAAATCTAACAACACTAAGAAAGTGGATGTCTTTCCACAGCTGAGTGGAAGGAAGAGAGAGTGGCAGCTAGCATGCAGATCCATGCACGATAGTAGAAGATAGAACTTTTTGCAGAAAGGTTACATCCTCATCAATGGAAAAGTGAGCTTTAAAGATCCTGAAAAACTTGAAGCCCTGGAGGGAAACACAGACATGCTTATGCTTTATACTTGGAAAAGAAAAGATATCTGCTGCGCTGCCTATAATGACGCCTTTCACCCATTTACCATTTTCTTCTTTGACTGCATATTACCTAATTATCTGCAGCCGACTTATGTCTTACTAAGAGCTTCCTTGAAATGGGAATTAGTCCATAGTGAGATAAATAAAGTCAATCTTGTATTAAAGAAAAAGTCTCACCCTTCAGGGAAATAATTTTCTGTCTTAAAACTAGTTTTTAGACTTTAAGAAATTTTAAAATTTGTTAATTCCTAATAAATCCTTTTCGAAATTTAACAACAAATATGCATGAAGATGTAAAACCTCAAACCAGTAAAGTACGGCCCAGTAGGGTACGGCTTAAATATCCGATTTTGGGAGGTTAGGTCAGAAACAAAGTCTGTTTTATGATGCGTCTCCGATGTGAAATGACCCTTTAAGAGTCTGTGTTTCTCATCCGTAGTGAGAATCACAGCTCTCACCCCGGCAGACTGAGGCCTTTGGCTCCACGGACACTTACGCCCATTAACCCCCTGAACCCGGGTTCTGGTTTCCCCACAAGTGCGCATATCCTGTCCTCCAGGTCTCTGCTGAGGTTAATCATTACACGACTGTATCTCCTCTCCAAGTTGTGAGCTTTAGCCTCTGTTAGCTGCGGCACAATGGCAGCCATATTGGATTACGGTGTTTGCACTAAACTTGTTTGCCCTCTCCCACCCTCGCTCCGGCTCACATTCCCTCCCTGACGGCCCTCCTCTCCTGGGAAACGGGGCCTCTCCGCTGCCATGGGGATGAAACAGGGTGCTCAGATGAAAAGGCGGAGGCTGTCAGTTGTCGTGGAGACCTGACCTCACGCCGGCCTCTGTCAGTCTGTTCTCCACACTGGAAGAAGACCTCCAAAATAAGCGTGCTGCCTTGATGGATGTCAGGCTGTCAAACGGTGGTTAATTGAGAAAGGGAAGGCGTGTCTCGCTGCCTTTGATTGGACTCTGTGAGAAGCGGATGGGTCATAAGCTGCGACAAAGTCCTGACTCCGTTTGGCGAGGTTTCTCCTTTCCATCAGTCTCGCTATATTCCCTGCCAGCCAAATGTGTCTTTAGGATGCCTGCAGATCTCCCAGTCTTCCACTAAATGGGCAGAAATCCTCATTCCGGACTGGAATCCTTCACCAGACCAGAGGCAGTCCTGAAATGCTGGCCCACTGAAGAAAACCTCAACACCTGACCACAAAACTCAAATGACTAACAGCCTCCTCCTCGAGTGTAATGATCGGCTTTTATCTCCAGTAATGGATGAGGAAGGAGATGGGTCATGTTGTGCTTTAAAAGGAGACTAAAGACAAAGAATGTGAATGCAATATCTCCGTGACCGCATGAAAGCCGCTTTTCAATTCGCCACAATAACAGAGAGCATTCTAACTCTTGGGTTACATGCAAATTCGTGACAAACTAAATGTAATACAGCCAAGATTTAACCCTGCTATGCTGCTGAACCCCTTTAGGATAGATTACCATTTCTACCACCGATAAACTGAGCACATCTCAACATGAAAAGTAAAATAAGTCACACAGTAAATATGCATGCGATTCCCTGAGAAACCACATCACCACACATCTGCTGTAAAACAGATGACAGATTAACAATATAAACATTCTTCTAGTAATTAAAGGGAGGCTCAGCTAAAAGGTAGTCTCTCTCACAGAGGCAGAAACATTGGTTGAAGTAACACCCATGTCCGGGATTAATGTTTCTCCAGCAGGCTGCAGAAAACAATAATTAGGTCATTATTGCAGAAGCTTTGGCTTTGAGTCAAAGCAGCGAAACATAAAGATGCCAGCAGCATATTTACTAGTAAACATCTGGAATTCCTGCATCAGATAGCCAAAGGTAGATAACTGCAGCCCACAAACATGATGTTTATCTCTAATGGGAAACCATTTCATCGTCTAGGTGCCACAAAGTAAAAGCCCTGCCCCCCCCCCATTGGTTTTTATTGTTATTTAAAAGCTACAAAAGAAATTCAAAGCCTAAAGTAGCATTGCTTATAATGAGGGGGTAGGGAGCATCTTCTGAAATCATGCTTACAAACCCACAAAGCTTTAATAAACACATTTTAAAACGGATCCTAAACTCTACTGGGAGCCAATGTTCAAATCTAGATAGTATGATTCTGATGCAATACAGTATGAAGAGTAAAAGGTAAAAAAAAAATTTACTTGATGGTATTAACGTCCTGACACACCTTTTTCATTTCCGATACAATGTCGATATTGGTGCTTTGAGTATTGACCGATACCGGTCCGATATGATATTAGCAAGAATCACACCGGCTTTTATCACTTGTTTTATACAGTAGACTATTAGGAAAGGCTTGATCAAGTAATATTACTAAAACAGGTCTACAACAGACCAATGAAAAATTAACCAATGATTTGTAGACATTTTTAACAGAATCAGAGTGTTTCTAATAGTTGTGAAATTATCATGAAAATATCAAAAATTTTAGACACTGACCGATTAAATCTGATAGTTTTTTGGCTAATAAAGGACTGATATCTGATATTAATAGCAGATCTTCCTGGAAGAAATATTAAATCAAGAGATAATCAAACACAGAATCAATATTACATCTAAAGACCTTAATACTGGATTGTAATGATCATTGGTTTCAATGCCGATATGATATTAGCAAGAATCACACAGTTATGGTCTCAGTTATGTTGGAGTTTAAGACAAAACTGTTGCCAGTGAGCTGGTCGGTGATCAGGGTTAGACGTTAAAAGAGAAAAAGAAGTGATAGTACAAAAAAAACAATGATCAAATATGCTATCTGATGGAAAAAAGGAAAAAGAAAATATAAAAGGGTCCAAGGACTGAACCTTGAGGAAGAGAGGAGAGTAACCTGCCCCTTTGGGAGACAAATGTTATGTTGATTCGGCTTGCATGCTTAAATGGGCCAGGTACTGTATTCATGGTACCTTAAAAAATAAATAAAAATAAAAAAAGAGGCAAGAACTTTATGTTATGGCAGTCCTATAGTTATAAGTCCCTTCAGTGCGATAGCAAAGAAAGGCGGGAGTTTTCCCAGCCTGTATGAAGTAAAGAATAATTCACCACTGTGCTTGCCATACCTGTTGTTAAACAAGGCTGCATAAAAAAAGAGGATTATTATGCTTTATTTATAAATTTCATCATTGCAAATGTGGCTGCTTGGAAATAGTTCTGATCAAAAATATGAATAGATGAATATCATCTGCATAGTGTGAAAACTAAGAGAGAGCAAAACAAAACATCTTTTTAAGACTAGTTAAAATCTGAGCGTACTGAAAGGATGTAATAAATAAAAAACATTAGA